CGGGAAAGGGACTGTGTTTACATTTCTTGCAGATTGTTTTAATACTCTTGCGCGTCGCATGTTTTTGTCCACAACTGAATGTATTACTGCCTGAAATAAAGAACAAAAATTAAATACGAATAGAATACTGAAATAATCAAAAATTAATTAATTTATGATATAAGTTCTTTCTAATGGACGGTTCATTATGACATTAATCATTTGTGTGTAACTGTTCCTCATCGTTTCGTCTCATATTGAGGAATGCTTCGCTTCATTTTTGCACGTACTTTCACCATGCAAAAGGCTTTTTAATTTGATCTAATTAATACGAAAAGTTTTGCAAAAGGAGTTGGTATCACGTCAACGACATTTTCTTACAAATATTATTTTGTATTGACTCAGCCGAATTAAAAATGCTTTTGTATGGTGAAAGTACATGCAAAAATGAAATAGAGCATTCCTCTTACGAAACAATATTATAAGAAAACTATTTAGAACAGTAGTATTTTCGTCGATTAACGAAAATACTACTGTTTTAACTATTGAAAACTTATATTAAAACTATTTACAAAATTAACGAATAGATTTTCTATAGTTTTCCAATAGTGTTATAATAATTATACAGTAGTATTTCAATATTTTTCAATAGTACTTCATATAGTACTATTGAAAATACTTCAATAGTTTTCCTACATTGTTCCCAGTAATTTTTTCTTATAGTTTCTTTCCGTAAGGGTCCTCACTCAGGGATAGAAACGATATGGAATTATTGCTATCATGACATTGATTTCCTTTTGCAAATATTAATTGCAAATTGTGTAATTTATTTTTCTATAAATATTTAGCTTAGATATTATTATACAAATAAGTAAATGTTATCTCCGAAGAATGAATACTTTTGACGAGATATTCGATATTTGACGAGATTTTTGCAGAGGAGAATAAAATAAAAAAAAAACTTCGATTCTCTTTTCGATAAACGTACTTCAATCCTTTTATGCGCAGAATTGCCTGAAAAATCGGTTTACATACTATTCTTTTTAAAAAATAAGAATTAACTTTCAAATAAGTTTTATGTTATATAAAAGTTCTTTTTGTCATATAAAAGCGTCTAAAAAATGTATTCATTCCTATGTCGTATTATATGTTTTCTTCGAAATAATGTTTTTTTACATACAATACTTTTCTATAAAACTTTCTTTATTTGATTTACCTTGTATAATAACGACTACATTTATTAGAAAATGTATCAAAAGCATATTTTGATGAGAATACGAGTATTGGGATATTGACAATAACGTATTCATGTAGAATCTATACGTAGAATTTAGTTCTATATGTAGAAATTATGCATATATGAAAAAAAAAGTAAATGGACAGTGACATCATGTCAGCACTTATTTAACGATGGTCTTTACTTGATAAATATCAATATATATCTATATATATCTATATTTGAAAACTTTGTCGACAAAATACTGACTTTTTCTGCATAGTCTACATATTGCTTGCACAAAACTACAAATACTTTTACACAATGAAAATATGTGTAGAAATGAGTGGTTGTATTGCTCAATATGTGAGAAAAACGATAAAAAATTTGAAAATTTACATCTCGAGCTATCAATAAGCGTAAATATTTGCTTGATATAAAACTTTTGCAGTTCGTACATGCCTAACGTGCTTTTGCGCCGCTCAGAAAAATTCCAAAGAACATTGCTGTAAACTCCTACAACTGAAGCTTGACACATAAAAAGTTTGCAGAAAGATTTTCATATATGCATAGTTAGGATTTCCTCTAAATATGATAAAATAGAGGAAAGAGAGAACTCATTTGTACAATATCTTATATGTACAAGGAATACAAAAAGAACATTGTGATCATATTGGTATTTATCTGATATTGTTGTTTATCTGATATAATGTTTTGACAATCGCCCCTACGTTATCGACATTTTTGGAATTCGTCGTTCACTTTGGCCTTAAAGAAGAAATTAAATTTTTTAGTAAAATTTTGATATTTATTTTATAAAAATAGAACTAAAACAAAAATAAAAATTTTAATTCAAAGACTATAACTGCAACATTATTTTATATGAAATTTTCCATTTCCTTGATTGGACTATTGTACAAATGTAAATCACGCAAACCAGTAAAGTGTGCAAAAATGGTCGATTTGAAGCACACATAAAAATAAATTTTTTGTTTAAATATAAATATATTACTTATTTATATATATATAAAATTCCAACAAGTCTGTTTAGTTCTCCTTAAATCAGTTCCCGAAAAATGCTGCTTTTTTGAAAATATTATTTATCGCCTTTAATATTTCAAAGTCTCATGAATATTTTGATCGTTTGATTTATGTAAGAATATCGAGAGAGCTGGTCAGCCGTAAATAACCATGTCGAATTTCAAAATCGATATAGTTCACATCATAATTTGCCTAATTTCCACGCTGGTTCTCGTGAACGAGAACACGCGCTCAGAGCGAGGCGAGGTAGATTTCTAAAAAATTTCTTCGCGCACGCAGCGCCGATATTAATCGCGTGCCGAGGCGCGCGCAATTTCACCATGTCGCTGCGCCGCGAATGAAAATTATACTCCCCTCAAATTCCCATTCTCGCGCCATTTATTGAAACTTTAAACAGCGATCGCGGCCAACATTTTGCTCGCCGAGCCTGCGAAACGAGTGCGCTCGCACACGAATTCACGAGCGATTCAGGGGTGCGATTAAGGGCCTCCGAAGGGGCCGCGAGGGGTTGGCGGACCGCTCGTTTGTCTTAATAAAGTGCGTCGAAGCCATGCTCTCTACGGCGGCTGACTTATGGCCAGTCATCTGGTGGGGCGGTTCTCCTCATGGGCAATCCCAGGTCTTTTTTTCCCCCCTCCCTCATCCGCCCGAAAAGCTAGTCCCGCTTGCTCTACCCCATATTCACCCTAGAGCCGCCATCTCTTCCCCCCTCCCCCGCGATCATTAAATCTGTCGCCGGGTGTCCATCAATCGAAGGGAGGATGTCGGTTAATGATGGCCATCGTTCGTCATCGGGTGGATAACCATCTCCTCCCTCTCTTCGGTAGCTTGTCGAATTCAAATTTGTAATAGGACTAGGAATTCTAATAGGGATCTCGACATGAGATAGTTCGTCGTTATGCTCTCTCTCAAGAGAGAGAGAGAGAGAGAGAGAAAGAGAGAGATGTAACAGCGTTTCCGGATAATTCTTTCTGTGAAGTAAAAATAGGAGCTTTTGACAATACTGAATTATTACTCTCGCGATATTATATTAATGAGATGTTCGTTTAATTCAAGAAATCTCCTTCACGCTTTAATGACGCTGTGCGTAAATAGCAGCGAGAAATGTTCGGGATCCCGATTTGATACCTGCGATTCTTGCGGGGTTGGAAATAACGTGGTATACGATAAGCGTCGCTGCCCTGTGGCGGGGCGGCACGTCGATGCAAACTCGATCCGCCGCGCTGATGATTTATCATTTATTTGTGTATGACCCGGCGGGGGAGAAAAGTGGGTCCGCCTGTGGCACTGTGCAAACAGTGAATTACGGTTGGTAGCCGGGAGGAACTCGGACTCTGGCGTGTTTAACCACACCGATGACGATCTCTTTCGAGGAAAGGTGTTGCACACACATCGCTCGATGCCCACGATCGATTAGTGGAGAGCTCGCGTTTCAATTTACGCGTGGAAGAGAACCAGTTCGCGTCGTACAATAGCAGACGTATCCGTGATAGATGATGCTTTTCACAATTTATCAAACGCGGACACATCTGATATTACACGCGCGCGCACACACCTGATATACAATTGCATTACAGGGCGCTAATTAGAAAAGTTTCGCCCGTCATATCGCCTGGAGATGCCGTTATTTTTATTAATAACCAGCTGAAATTACTCGTTGTGTGTCCCCTCGGCACAAAGTGTCAAGGGGATGAAATCAGGAGAGGGGATGGAGTGTGTCCAAGTTTTACGTAGCCTACATTTTTCTAGAGAGTAACTGTATGCAACATTTTGTCCGGATCAGTCAAAAAGTTTTGGAGTTTCTACAGGAAACAGATAACCTATTTTATATATAGATACAGAGTTATTGTAGTTTTGATTGATAAGAGTTGATAGATAAGTTGATATATAAGAGTTGTTATAGTCGTCAGTTTTATACTTATATTCGATCAATATCAAAAGAATTCACGCCGAATAGATATACTTTTCGATTTCAAATCAATATGCGTCACGCAATATAGTCACGCAATTATATCGTTTACTGTCCCATAAATACAAAAGTTCTTTTTAACCAACTACATAGAATTCTAGAATTTTTTCAATTTACAAATAATACGGTAAATGTAGGTAAACTGTAATATAAGAATAGATAAATTTGCTGGCATTAAAAGATAATTTATGTGATGAAGTAGATAAAATTGTGTTTATCATCAGAAATAGTATATCATACACTTATAAGAAATTTTATTCTAGCTAGTAACATCGCTTAATTTTATTCAGTCACGATTGAGAATATTAATACAAAATTTGAAGAAGCTTGAAAATTTACTTTTGTTATTGCCAAATCAGTTTTATCTATTTCTTAACTGTAATATTATTTCAATTTTAATGAAATTTAGGGAGAAGTATTTATATTCTGAAAAGACCATTTCGTAATTTTGTACCCACTATTTTTTTCCTCCTAAGATAAATACTAAAAAAGGGCAACGTACTCCCCCTGAGGCCATATAGCCCCAGTTTCCCTATACTTATACACGCAGAGGCGCGCAGTCTCGCGCTTTCGCTCCAGGAGATTCCCAAATTCAAATCAGAATTGGCTTCTGCCGTCACTTAAAGTAAAGAATGAGATTGACATCGCTATTTTGTTCAACGCGCGTATCAAATACATAGATTTTATCTGACGTAAAAGTAATCCATGATCAAGAACCATCATTCATCTCGACATAATATTTATATACAACGGGACCAGTAAGGTTTATTCAGCGGCTAATCGTTTATTTCGCAGAGAGCGCAGTGCCGTCCTCCACGTCGGATATCGACAGGCTTCAGCAGCCGGTCAAGCTGACTTTGTCCAGCACGTGCCATCACGCTTACACGTCCTGCAAGTAAGTTCGCAAATTTCCGTCGCCGGTAATTGACCGATTATTCCGGACGAGACTTCGGAAAAATTACACGAGACACGACTTCTTTAGGAACGATCCGGAATGCAAGGAGCTGCTGCAGCCCATCCTGAACCACTGCGACTCGGCGACGTGCGCCAGAAACGAGTGTATGGAAGCGTTGCAGCACTTCTACAGGACCGCCCATCACAAGCATTCCGTGGAGATCGCATTCTGCCTCTGCAGGTTGGTCAAATTGTTTGGTATTTTCCTCGTTGATTTTACCTCGCAGAATTCCATCCCAAATTTGCCGCTGCACGTAAGCTCACGCTCCTTTAAGGTGGTTGTGTCGCTAAGTGCCGTATTTTCAATGACGCATCCAAGCGTGTCACTCATAAATTTGCTATTTACCGATCAAAATTACGTTTCTATTTATGGTAAAAAATATTTTATGTTCGATCCGCGTAGAAATGTGTTTGTGTTCAATTTTTAATATACTGTAAATTTTTTATTTAACATATCATCGTTATGTTATTTTGGCTATTCTACGTTGAGTATATTCAGCACTCCTAAGTATGAAAATGATACAATAGTGTCTATTTCTAACACTTTCGTGTTTTTTGACATATTATTGACATATTTTTATTTACATATTTTCTTTTTCTTTATGTTAGATTAACACAAAAATTAGAATGAATAAATTGGGACATAATAAGATGTGTTAATTTAACACAAAATTTTTTACAAGATATATTTTACATACATTTATTTCGTTACCAAAGTATCACTATTATTTTGAAACAAAATTAAAATAAATATATATATATATATATATATATATATATATATAAACAATATTGCAAAAGAAATTATTACTTTTTTATTTCTTTTCTGATAAGTGCTTTATTTATACGTCAATTTGTTTAATAAATATGTACAGGTAACAAAAAAAATATATAAATATTTAAATATGTGTATATAGAAATATATATATTTCGAGTATTACTATAAAGTATATAAATTTTCCACCCATCATTGTATTTTTAAAACAAAATTATTAATAATTCTGAAATTTATGTATAATGTCTGTATATTAGTCTTTAATATCATACATTGAGAAAAAAATTTATTAAATTTTAAAAAGTATTTGTTTGGATAGTACTGTGAAGATATTTGTTTAAATTAAGTAATTATTTTCAAAAATCAAATAAAGAAATTTTAAATATAAATTTGTTTCTTTAATTTTAGAAAATAATTACTTAATTTAAACAAATATCTTCACAGTACTATCCAAACAAACGCTTTTTTAAATTTAGTAAATTTTTTTCTCAGTATAGTAATTTTTCGTGAAAAAATCTCATATTTAATTTAGAAAATATTAAAAATAGAAATTAAAAATAGCAGGCTAGTCTCAAAGAATAAGTATAAGAAACGTCAACTTTAGTTGCAAATATCTCATCTCTCAAATGGCCAATCTTTTTCTAATTGCACAGTGAGATTATGTTTCATAGTAAGATGATGATAGTGCAAGTTTCAACAAATTCTCACGAAGCTCGTTCCATGACGTAACTATTTTAAGTTCTATCTTTCCTACACTTTCGCAATCTTATCTTTTTTTTTATGAAACGATTTATATCGTGAAGTAATATTTTAGAAACTAACTTATTTATATTGCCCCAGAAATCAACAGAATTTCACATTTCTGTGTTTCGCGCTTTATTTCACCGATGCGGTTCCTCTTGATGCACTTTGCAATTATAATTTTTAATCAAAGGATTTATATTTTTACTAATTACATTACACTTTGGAATATTGTGACCCTCCGATTCCCGGACTTTTTCATTCTTTCTCTTTAATTATTATTATTCAAGTTCCTATAAATCTGTGCGCTTCTTTTTTAAAAATGCACACAGTTGATGTTTTCCACACATACATACTCATATTTTGTGTTGTTAATAATATATATTTTTATATATATTTTTAATATATATTTTTTTTATCAAATATTTCTGTATTGACAGAATGACTATATTCTTTCCGTATTCCATCGATGTTAAATGTTTAATTGGCCGTTTATTATCACGAGAAAGTCATATTAAAATATTAACGCACAGCGCTACGCGGACGACTATGCCGCGACACAATGTGCGCTGCAACGTGAATTAATTATGGATTATTGTAACGGGACGGCGCACCTGCACGCGCGCGCGCGCGAAACGCGGGATCAACCGTCGGCACTGTCGTAAATTAATTGGGAATTAATCGAAGGACGTGGTGCGTTATAAACTCGCGTTTTTAGAAGCGAAGAGGGCGAAAAAGAAGAAAAGGAGAGGAAAATCGATGAAAATTAGCGACATCTAACGGAATGGTCGATCTCACGTCCACTTCCGTTTTTTTTCTATATCAAAGACTATATATCGACATTATGCATAAATTTAAGAATTATTGATAATTTCGTTTGGAAAATACATGGCAGTGGGGAAAGTTCATATTTTATAGTAATATTCGAGATACATATACATATGTTTAAATATACTTATATACTTCTTTCTATTATCTATGCATCTCTGCCAAATCAACTAATGCGTAAATGGAACATTAATAAGGGTGATTAACAAAATTTTCGTATTTATAATATTGTGCACATATATCTATCTCCCAATTTAGTCTCCCAAATTAGCATTAATTATTTTTATAATAAAATGAATGTAAAAACGTATAATTTTGTTCGATAAATAATAATTTTATCAATAATCCTCTTGCACCACTCTAAATACGACACTGAGCTTTACAACCTCCTTAAGGGGGTAAAACACCTGTGCCCGCGCACATGGAAAGTTTAAATTTAATATCTTGGAACTTCTTAATATTTTATTATGAAATTTGATATTTTAGATTACATTATACATTGATAAAAATGTTGATAAATTAGAAAACAAAAAACAAAATAATGACGGAACAACAGCCGTTTCGAACCTCTCTTATTTTCATGATAGGCTTAATCATTTCTGGAAAAATCTTTGAACGAAAAAAAGAAAATATATTCTTAATCTACAATAAATTCTTTATATGCTATCCTAGTTAATTTTTTAAATAATCTTTCGAATCAAAATTATAAAAATGTCTTTAAGAAAAAGCATTTCTCTATGAAATAAGCTTTTACAGGTTAGTACAGTCGCAATTTTTTTAAAATAAAAAATTGGTTGTGATAACACCTAAAAAATTTATTGCATATTGAAAATATATTTTCCTTCTTCCATTCAGAAATGTTTAGAATAAGTTATCAGGCCCGCGAGACAATGTGAAAAAAATGTTCTTCTTAAACGGCTGCCGTTCCGTCATTATTTCATCTTGCGTTTTCTAATTTACATAATATTTTTATTAATATATGCTGTGGATTCATGCAAAATTTCGTAATGAAATATTTAAAAACGAGAGAGTTACGGGATGTTGCATTTAAACTTTCTACGCGCGCGCTGAAGGTATTTTAACCTCTGAATATTAAAATATCCGGAAAATCTATAAATATTCTAAAAGAGCATTTCCTTCTCCTTGAGAGGAAAGAATAACGTGCTTTTATTCTCCATTCGGCGCTATATATTACTTTTCTACGCTGTTGCGCATCGGAATCCTTTTTCTCTCGTTGGCGAATTCCAGAAACATTTTTCTGCCGTGATTCGAAATCTGCCGCGTTCTAATAGCGAGCGCACGGTCGCCGGACGGTCGCAAAAATCCACCGAAATTTGACGTATCGGACCGATCGGATCCCCGGAACTTTGGACGCTACGCGAAACAATGCGCGGCTGGGATGCATATGCTGAGTAGCGCGCGCTGTTGCAACGGGCGCATTGCATCCGGCTGCGCGCACAGTGCCGACCGGCCGACATGTCGAAAAAGAAAATGCGATACGTTTAACTGACAGGAATGCCAGATCATCATGCCCGGTGTGCATCATGCATTCAGTTGTGCTGAAACGGAAGTAATAATAAGGAACGCGGCGGTATTACAGGGACGAATAAGGCTGACAGAGGGCCAGAGGGAGGAAAAGAGAGAATGAGATCGATAGCGTTGGGTGTGTTTTGAATAAATCATGCGACAAATTACAGAAAGTCGTAGAACATGTCGAGTTGCGCGATAACAGGTCGCGATCTTTCGTGGGCGCGTCAATATTTTATTGCGTGTCTTTGATACTTTCCTTTTTGTTCTTTTTATTTATATTAATAAAAAGAAACTTTTCGCGTAGGACATTTTTAAAGAACATTTTGCGTTCTACTGATGGAAATTTCTGACGCAATTGTAAACGAGACATCGCAGGTCAAACGTGATTTCTATCGTGTATAAATAACAGCGCACTTAATCCGTCGTGTCTTATATGCCAACGTATTTTTAACGCGGCTGCAGTAAAATACTGTTATGGATGGCTAATTATTTCGAGAAAATAATTACTGCGGCAAATCTTTTTTTGTGAAACGACGAATACACGCGTATGATACGGTGGGGTTAATTTAATGAGCACACGTGCAACTTGACAAAAAAAAATAGGCAACAGCTTTCGTGCAATTCTACGTCGAGAGAAAAATTATAATCCAGAACAGTTATATATTTATATATGTATATATATACATGTATATATGTGTATATATGTGTATATATATATATATATATATATATATATAGAGAGAGAGAGAGAGAGAGAGAGAGAGAGAGAGTATGTGTGCGTATGTGTGTGTGTATTTCAGACTCTTCTCCGCAATTTTTGTGGGAATGTAGAACGGATTGAGGTGAATACAAAAGTTCCGTATCATTTAGCGATATTTGCAATAATAATCGAAATATTAATTAAAGAAAATTGGTGAATGATCACGCGCGACATGATAGATGAGCTATAATAGCGACATGTGCCGTTATCTGCCTGTACATTAGACCAAATAAAAAAGTCCTTTATCATTTTATAAATACCAGGTAGATTTTTAGTTATTAATGAAAGAAAATTATTATCTATTTGTGCGCGATAATACACAATTTTCTTAAAATTAATATCTAAAAGTCTGTATTATCATTTGCAAAATGATAGAGGACTTTTTTGTTCAGTTTAGCATGATGAATAAGTATACAACAGCAGATAGCGCCACTACATTTCTACTAAATCTACCATATCGATTATTTATCAACTTTTTTAATTAATATTTCAAGATTTATTGCGAATATTGCAAAACAGTAAAGGACTTTTATGTTCACCTCAACTTGTTCTACGTTCCTACGAACGTTACAGAAAAGAATTTGGGACATCCTGGATGTGTGTGTATTTGTTAAGAGGGATTAGTATTATTATATTAATTAATACGGAGGGATTTTCATGACTGCGAAATTACCTTCCTTCTAAGTACTAAATGACGTTACAATTTTCCTGCCGCAGAAGCTAAGTCGCGGATATAAATTTACCCCATCTCAAGGTAATTGCAAATTCCTCTGTGAAGATAATGTCTATAATCTGGACGATGTGCCTTGGAAAAAATAAATCCGTATAGATGAAATGGGAGTAAAAATTGAAATCAAGCCGAAAGTCGATTATAACATCCGCGAGATCCTCGGAGGAGAGTCAAGACAAGTCCAACTTGGAGATTCCGCGATGACGACTTCGACGGAATCCTCAAGGCAGTCCTAATATCTCGCGTGGGAAGGTGACTCCGTAGGAGATGCTCGTCCTTTTTAACGAGGCTCCTTTAACTTTTAAGTGGCTTTCGGCGGCGAAACAATGCGGAAACTTCGCGCTCCCGCCTAGCGTCTTATTTTTATCCTCCCGGATCCTCGTGGCGTTTTCTTTTATCTTGTTCTTCTTTTTCCTTTCGTCAAGTCCCTTTTGTCCAAGCGTCCGTCTCGAAATAAGAATCGAACGGACGACAGAATGCAAAACCGTGGCCGAATAAAATGCGCGCCCAGTCCGATTGATGCGCGCCGCGCAAAGTCTGTTTTGCCGGCTGAGCCGACGATTATCGCATCGATATTGTTATTTCGCACGACTGGAAGTATACCAAAGACGGCGTATTATCTTCGAATTATCTTCTATCTCGTGATCGAGATAGAAATGATTCGAATTATCGGGTTGATATTGACAGTTTAGTTCAATTTTTTAATGAAATTTGACTTTGTTGCATTCAATGAAAATAAATCACTCATCAGCCAAGTCAATTGTTCTGTGAGCAATTCCTTGCCAACGTTTTGCCAACAGAATATTATCAGCGCTGTTGCCGGTATCGCATAAATGTACGTAGTGAAAATCGAAGCGAACTGTTTGATTGACCTGACATTCACAGAGAATCGATCGAAGAGAGGCTCTCGGTAAGAGGAGACGCTACGTTATTATAAAATGCCGCTTGTGTATTTTTTCAGTGTTGCAGAGTATGTTGATAATTCGTATGAACGTAAGTTTGTGTTTCTCGTGTCGCAGGAAAACGGATGGCAAAAAGGACGAGTGCATAGTGGCACAGGAGAAAATGCATCCAGCGTGCGTGCAGCGCGTCGACGGCGCCGAAATGCCGACGTGTCACAGCCTGGCTGAGACTTGCAAAGAGAACAAGGGCTGCAGGTGAGGAAGAGGTGCATCGCGCGCTCGAAAATTTGCATGTTTCTCCATGAATTACCCGCGCTAGCGCGCGCGCGTCGCGTCGCGGATTACGAATAAAAACAGACATTGCGGTTAAGCGCGCGAAAGTGAAGTAGCTGAAAGCGATACATGAATGCAACGGTAGAGCTAATAACTTATCACAACGTCGATAGATATCAAGAACAAAACCCCCTGATAACATCGGCGATTACTTCAGGACGTCTATTTCCTTTTTCTTCTCTTTCTTTAGTTAAGGCGAGTGTCCCAATTAGTAACCGAGTTACCTCATCGTGGAAATAAATTGATCAATTAATTAATAAACCTGTTAAGCTAAGTACACAAAATTGATTTTGTTGGGAAACTTGAACATTTAGGGCTTTAAATGTGTTATATTTTCTCATTTATATACAGGGTGTTTCATATTACATATCCATTCCTTTTATTTTGAAAAAAGATGATGCTTGGGAAAAATATGTTTATCATAAAAGCCTATCTGAATTTTTTAATAGTGGAACTTTTATTTTTGGAAAATCCTCACAAATACCGGAAGTCGAGGACAACTTAAAAATTTCAAATAGCAACATAGGGCAATAAATATCGTTGGATAGAATTTTAGACAGAAACAACTTTTGCTTGAAAAAAAAATTTAATATCATTCGGAAATGACTCAAAATGTCTCTATCAAGGTGACAGGCACTTCGAACATCTGTAACTATCTTGGTTCTTTTATAGTAAACATGTTTTTCCCAACTTCCTAGCGTCACTTCTTTTCAAAATAAAAGAGATGGACGGATGATCTGAAATACTCTGTATAAGACAAGAGTTTACCTTACTTATAATATTTTCTCACGAGTGGTTGATGTAGCACTTAATAAAATAACAGTTTTGTCCCAATTTGCCACATAAGGTGATTAACCTAATTAAAAATAAGATTATTAATAAAGGTCCTTATTCAAATATCACAAATTGGTACAGAATTCTTCTTCAGAGAATTCTTCTTAACAGAGTTAAGAAATAGCATTAATATCGTAACTCTTATTAATTGGAATACGATCATTAATTGAGACACTCATCTTGGATACTATTGAGAAGCTATTAAGAGCTGCCCATAAATTCTCAGGAGATTTCACATGTCGGTTCTTCCATGATAAAAGTTTCATTGAATCTCATAAAATAATGCGAAAAACTCACATGAGATAAAACAGTTTGCTCGAACGGATTTCTCGGGCAAAAAGGCGATAACTGTGTCCATAGCGCGCTACGGAGACTGGAGGGTGAAGGATGCGTCGTCTCTCATGGTCGCGAACTCTCATGGTCCTGCGAGAGGACGAACGAACGTCCTCACCTAAGCTAAGGAAATATTACATTAGCGCGTGGATAAATCTTGTTGAATCGCGATTTAACTTTAAAATTGAAAAAGTTCCGACGGGACCGCGAGAAAAAATAAGGGACACTGTGTTTGCGGTGTTTAATCGGCTGCCCCGCTAGGTTTACTCAGCAAGATAAGATCGCGTCGGCCTTAATTGGACATTACTATTTTACGTGTCGATTCCGGCGGTTGCGACGATTTTCACTCGGCGAGAGAATCGCGCGGACGGGTTTCACGGGAGCTCTAGGACAACTTTTATCTCGGCGTGTGGCGGCGAGTTATTCATCCCTTAAAGTGCGCGGCGGTTCCTCACGAGAACGTGTCCTCGTGATTTAACGGGTTGTGCTGGATATCTTGCGCGTGCGAATCGCGTGAAAACTCTAACGGCGCGTACATCTTGCGCGAGGCGGAGAATAGATTTTGCATAAACTCCAGGAATATTAAACAGCGACGGGGGACGGAAGCATAATGATTGCATGTACTTGACGTTTATACAAGCCGGAAAGCACCGACCGCCTCGACATTCTATGAAATCGTTACAAGAGGCACTACTTTTAGTCAGATCAGTCAGTGAATATCGTTAAAGTTAAAACCAGTTTGCTGGGTCATCTGTAATAGTGAAATATTTAAGTTCTCTCGATCGTTAGGAGAGTTGCATCAATGTCGATTAGCTCTAGTCCAAGTTAATTGAATTTACTTTCCCTCCCTCTCCCCCATTTTCGCTGTGTCTACTCGTCTATATTACAGTGTAGACTGTAATTCTGCGAGAGAGAAAGAGAGAGAGAGAAAGAGAGTGGGAGAGGGAGACAGAGAAAGAGCAACGGCGAATCAGATCTATTCGGAATTAGTTAACTGAAACTGTCAGTGCAATTCAGTTTTAGTGAGTTTCCGCTGCGAGTCAGCCATCCATTATTGATTACTGTCTAATTTTCGATCAGTCCGCCGCTTGGCACTAGACATGACATGCGAGACAACGTGAATCCCATGAATCCGTCTTACGAGTCTTGCAATCTCACGAATTAAAAGGTTACTTTAAGGATTCTGACAGGAGTAAAAATGGGGTAAAATTTGGAGTAAAAAGTTATAAATTAATAGGAATTTAATGAATGTTTTGTTATATGTTCCTTAAAAAAACAATATTTTAATACAAAAAAATTAAATTTTGTAGAGAATATTAACATCACTGTGTGATCCATTTCAATTCTATTCTGCAAAAGAGTTATGTTTCGGTAACCATCTTGGTCTCAATAGAAGTAATTTTAAATCTGTATCAATACATTATTTTTACACATTAGGGTTATAATTATTAATTTTCGGAACGGATTTTGAAAAAAAAAAAAAATATTTCGCAAAGTAAAAATTACAAAAATTCAAATTTAATCTTTTCATTAAAAATTCGAGCTTGTAAAATAAATAAACCAGGAATGATTTTGAAATTTACGAACAGTGTCGTGTGAACCGATAACTACAACTCTAATAAATAAGAAAATTGTATTGATACCAAATCATTCCTGTTGATGTTATAAATGATTACCATAGCATGATTCTTTAACAGAACAAAATTGAAATAGACACAGTAATGTTAATATTCATCATACGATCTAATTTTTTTTATATAAAAATATTGTTAATAAACATGCATAACAAAAAATGTACGCTTTTATTAATTTACACTGTTTTACAGCTCCTCAAATTTTACCTAATTTTTATTCCTGTCGAGGTCCTACAACCTCTTGAGGCAATGTAAAACAAATTTCAGCTACGGACCTTCCACAGTATCTTCCTCGTGCATGACATTTTGTGTTCTTGCTTCACATCGATACGATAAAAATAATCTTTGCGTTATTTAGAATAAATTTATATGAGCGGCAACAAATAATTTATGTCCGTTAAATACACTGCTTTAATTGTCAGTGCATCAATCGGCTATTGTTATTCTCCCAAGTTCGTAAAGCTTAACATTCGATCAATTTAATTAACAATTTTACATTGAGAGTTTCGTATCGACTAAATAAAATCACAAGCAATGAACGTTCTTAATTAAGCGCACATCGGAGTACCTGATATTTACGTAATCTACAGAATCCGCATAAAACTCGCAAAACAGCAATAACATATGCATAATACAAATAATAAATGTATTAATATTATACTGAAGAATTCTATTTAGATTGCAAATGAGGTTCTCGCCAAATTTAAATTCGCTCTTGGTCGTACGAGAAACTTGCATTAAGTTAATTAACAAATTTTTCCTGCAAATACTACATTTACAAACCGAAATATTCGTAGTTGTCTCGCTTAAAAGGAACGATATAGAATATGTCCGATACTGATAAAACATCAGATATAATAACAAAAATGTTAGACATAACAACGACAATTTCAGATACAACGTACTATATTGGGAAGCAAAATATACCTCGAACGTTTATAAGTACGTTAAAAAAAAACAGTGCGAGTAACGGAGCGGATTAAAATGAGCGAAGAAGAGGCGCGATCGCGCGTCAGATCGTGTGTACGCGCACTCGCGGAGATGGATTAAATTAAAACACGCGCCCACGTACTCGCGCACTCACACATGCACGCAATGTACCCGATTCGGCGTTTTAATTGATTTATCGCCGAGGGCGAACGAATCCGTTTTTAATTTTGCCATTTGGAGACACCTACGGACGCGCGACGGAAAAACGAACGATTGCTCTGTGCCGTCGATGCACGTTTCGCACCTTGATGCTTTCTTGAACTTCAAGATGTCTTGATGAATTTTAATTTTATCGCTTTCTGTATCGATTTCAATCGATATATTCGGAATTTTTATTTCTTAATATAGAGATTCCAGTTTTGTGCGTTAATCAATAAGCAAATAATTATTTTTTTTTTCAAATTATACTATGAGTAATAAGGTTCTTTCATTCATGAGTGATTGTTTTGAGACTGACCATGTATACATTTAATCACGTGACATTGTTACTTCCTTTTTATGCAGACTTTGTCAAGAATAGTGCTGACATACATTAACAATCTAGAATACTCGTTCTGCTGGTCTAATTGTTCTATCGATATGTACATGTATATTTCTAGTTACAAATAGAGGTATATATTAAATTGCACCAAAAACAAAAAAGAAAAAAAAATAACAAACACACAATCTTCATCTCTATTGTTACCTCCAACGCGCCATCTTCATCCCCAACGCACCATTACTATACTCAACAAGCCATCACCATTCCTAACGAGTCAGCACTACCCCCAACCAGTCATCACTATCGCTAACGCGCCATCACTGTCCCCGACGTGTCATTCTCAATGGTCATCACTATCCCCAACGAGCTATCACCATCCCTAACTATCATGATGCCGCACTATCATGATCCCTAACATTACTATTACCATTCCCAACAAGCCATCTTCATCTCCGACGCGCCATCACTATACCCAACGTCATCACCACCCCCAATATACTATCATCATTCCCAAAGCTCCATTTCTATCTCCATCTGCTTCTTCATCTTTCTCCCTCTCTCTCTCTTTCTTATTTCAAATTTCTTATTTGCGGAAACAAGACCGACTAATCTCTAAATAAACAGGTACCATTTTCGAGGCGGATGTCGAAACCGACTCGATTTGATTTCGCGAGGTAAGTTTAACTCTAGCTCTGCAGGTTGTGTCTGAGTAAGTTTAACCCAAACACAATGCGTTTCCGTTATCTGAAAACGAATACCACTCTATGTATATATATTATATAGAATATATATGTATATATAGTACTACTCTATTCGAGAAAACGTTGATCTCGACACAAATCGATCGACGGGAGCTTTCACAGAACGAATGAAGCGCGTTGAAAAAATATCCACCAGCCCGCGTGTCACGCGTCATTATGCACATGCCGACACTTCCGATGATCATTACATGGATCATTGTTGCACTTAAAAGTCGCATAACTCGGACGAAACGTTCCTACGGGAACAATGCTCGCGTTACACTCCTGGTATATATGCATTGATTATGGGTACATATCAATTGTCGCGCCAGCGGTCCCTTTGGTCATCGGGAGAGTACACCTAGCGATTGCCCATTGTTGCTGCATTAGTCCCCTCGGTCACCACCCAGTATGTCACCGATGACCGCACGGATACGCTCGATGATTGTTCGAAGGTATCACTTGGTAATTCGCGACCCTGCGATACGCGCACTTTTTTTTATCGAATCAAGCTAATCATGTTTGTGCATCCCGAAATCGCAGCTCGGTCAATTCAGTTGATACTACTCCCGAATAGTTTGCCAAAACGTTGTTTTGCAATTAACTACGCGGAGAGAATGTTTCTAAATTTGTTTGTTCGACTTTTTAACTGCAAAAGAATTCCGATTTTAATGAAAAAAGAACCAAGGAAAAGTACTTGCGTTCTGAAAGGAATGTTTTGCGATTCCGTTTCCACTCTTACGATAAATACACGAGCAAAGCACATGGCCAACAGTACTTTTGGCTCAACCAGCCCCGATCTCATCTGCTTACTGAACATGCAAACGTCAAGGATCGTACCATACAAGACCCAATTTATTTTTTCGTATATATTATACATCTTTTTGCATTTCTAAATAATATCTATATGACTGCCCTGTCCGTGATATTCTTTTCTTCAAACTTTTGCTTATCACCTGCTGTTACGATCACAAAATAATAAGAAATAGAGCTTGGAAAATTATCCTGAACAATCAAATATCCTTGCCTCGCGAAAGTGTTAAATATCGATGGAAGAAAATTTCTTTCTATCTCTCACGCGCGACTGAGAATCGAGAAAGGAGCTTGCGGAACGGGGGGGATTGATATCGCTATTCTCGCAACGCGACCGCTTCGTCGACTATTGCGCATTGCTAGCATAGCGACAAGCGACGCAGCTGGGCGATTAATATCCTGAGTGTTTTCGACTTTTTCTCAGGCTCAGGCTGGAATATTATGAGCAGAATTGCGCGGTTGACAGCGTGACGAAGAAGTGCGCCGGACCGACCTCGGAATGCAGAAAAGCGATGCTGGGCATCCTCGGCACCGAGCTTCGCACCAATTGCGCCTGCAAGGGCACCGAACTCACCCAGCTCTACGACTGTTTGGGTTGGCAACGGTTACTCTGGGTGAATCCCTGCGTCGGTAAGCGAAAAATCCTGGCTTGGGACTCATCGTCCACGAGCCCGAAATTTCAGTCCCACCCTACAATCGAGATTAACCTCCTTGCGTTGGCACTTAATTAACGAGACCGCATACGTCTATTTAACCTCTTCACTATTGTGGGGACATGCGTTCCAGAGAAATTCATTACTACTGGATGATATCAGCTAAATATTATTGGGGCAACCAAATTAAAATATCTTTTTCCTGAACTTTCGAGTTGTCATACGTAATTCTCTTCTATATCTTCATTTATTTTACTGAATAAATTGCTATTAGAAACCAATGATTATTGAAGATTATCCTGATCTCTCGCCGCGGAATTCTTAATTGATGAGATCAGATGTGAAAACGCGCTAAAAGTTCTTACAAAATACGTTGAAATAAAAAGACACAAAACAACACAATAGATCGAGCAGATCTGCAACATAATCCGAATATTTTCCTTTTGCTCTGACAATCAATAAATAAATAACATAACAAAATCATAATAAAAAATAGGTTAAAAAGGAAGTTTGTACGTCATGTTAATTTTACGATTATTTACTCATTGACAGAGCAAAAGAAAAATATCCCAACTATTTTACAAATGTGCTCCGTCGATCGCAAGTGTCATTTTATGAACATATCATTTTATTTCAAAATTCTGCAAATATTTTTAGCCTGTATTTCCTCGCTTCTAACGTAATAAATTAAGATGACCATAATAAGAAAATCTTAACTTATTTAGATAATAGAGTTTGAATTGACGGGGAGTTTAAACAGTTAATTTTACAATTATTTACTCATTGTCAGAGCAAAAGAAAAATATTCCAACTATTTTACAAATGTGCTCCGTCGATCTCAAGTGTCATTTTATGAACATATCATTTTTATTTCAAAATTCTGCAAATATTTCTAGCCTGTATTTCCTCGCTTCTAACGTAATAAATTAAGATGACCGCAATGAGAAAACCTTAACGTATTTAGATAATAGAATTTGAATTGACGGGGAGTTTAAACAGAACGACAATATACATTTTAAATCGACTCACACGTACAATCATGCAAGTGTTCCTTTTCTTAAATTTCTTTATTATTTTTTATTATAAAATAATAAAGTTAAGGCAAGCCTTGTAATTCACAACATGCATATTCGCCTCACGAAATATCAATGTTCGAAAGTTTCAACGCAAGGGGTCAATAAACTAGTTTCAGAACGATCGTTTCGTTATCCTTCTTGCTGCAACAATAATCCTACAATCTCGCATATTTCGCGTTTTCACAGTACCTCGTATTATATCAAAATCTTTGCCGGCAGTAAGAGTTCGAAATTATGAGACTTTCGTTGTTTGCGTTGTTGCATTGTGAAATTGACTTGTCTCTGGAGTTTTCGCGCAAACGCCTTGGAGAATAGCTTGGAGTAAATAGGCGCCCGTGTTAAACAATATCTCTTTCTCTTTCCTCCACTCTTATTCTAGTCCTCTAAATTTATGAAAACTCGACTTTTCCATAACGAAAATTTCAACTCGAGCTAAATCTGTTAAGAAAGTTGTTTAATATCGAATATTAAAAAGACACATTTAATTTTGAGAGAGAAAGAGAGAGGAAAGAGAGAACGGGGGAGGGGGAAGGCAGGAGGGAGGAGAGAACTAATTAAGTAACAAAACTTTACTTTCATAGCTAATATTTCCTTAACTTCGTTTTAAAATGAATTTAATTCGGCCTCTAATTCGCCGAGATATTTAACATTGACAGCTCGAAAAGTTACGATGAAATTCACACGGGAGAGCCGGAAAATTTATTGCCGTTAATTTCCACTTCGTCGGCTAGCTACCTTCCTACCCCCTCCCTCTCTCTCTCTCTTTCTCTCTCTCTTTCTCCATGTACATGTATACACGTCGCGGCGCATAAGCTGCCCGTAATAGACAGAAGCGCACGAAGCATTACCGCCGATGCGCTCGGCATGATGCACTCCTGGAACGCAGTGGGAGATGCAATTTCTTCGTATCTAAATGACTTATCTACTGGCTGAATGCAACACTCGCCTGCATTCGCCGTGCTTTACAACTCGACGAGGTCGAGAGGGATCGATAAGAGCCATCCTGTGTCGTTTGTTCGACCGATGTAATTGCAATTCTGTACGTGCGGCATCGCGATGCAACCTGGTGGATCGTCACGGATCGTTATAGATCACCCCCTTCGCGGTCTTTTCGCGCGCGCGGGAGAAAGAGAGAAAGAGAGAAGGGGGGAGACAGAGAGAGAGAGAGAGACGTCGTGTTTTTTATTCAGATTATTTAAAATACGACATAAGTCGCACAGATGCCTCTTTTTCTCATTAGAATACCTTTAGAGTGTGCTCATTAGAGAGTATTTATCGCGAGAACGCATTGAAAATATAAAAACTCTATTTTATTTACATAATCCAACTTTTTCTCAGGAAAGATAACGTATTGTTAATTCTTGTAAACACGTTGTTTCGATGATCTTGAATGTTGAAACTGCATAATTAATTACAGAATTATTTTAGCATGTATCTTTGACGATGTACGAGATACATGAAAGAGGAATATTAGTGAACGATCATAATAACAATGATAAATAATAGAGGTGTTGCATTCGAAACTGTAAATTATTGAGAGATAAGTTATTTGATAATAACATTGAAATGAGGTTTCGATCATCTATATGATTTAATTATAACTGCCACAATTGCGCTGTTTATTGTTGACACGTGACAAATTGCGCCTGTCTTGTTGAAACATGAGGATGACTGATTTTAATAAATTAGGGATCGTGAAACTAAATGGAGTGGAGAATTATCACATAATATGGAGAATTTCTCGGCGATTAACCTGCCTTTTGAATCGAGTCGGGCGTTCTGAAAGTACAATATAAAAGCAGACGTCTCACCGCCCCGGCAATTTATTTATTTAGCTTGATACGCGAATTTTACAGAAGCGTTCTGTGAACTTTCAGTTTAATTCCATTCGGCCGCCGTGACAACGTAATTCCTCTGTGTTGCACGGATTTTTTACTAATTCAAACTTACGTATCATTTTATCTCGAGAACGTAGCGCAGCGAAGCGAACGTGTTTGCTTATGCTTGCGTTGATTCCGGCGTAAAGAATAATAACGATAACATCCAAAGTTGAAATTTAAATTTTACCTCTGTTGAAGTTCTTGTAAAAGTGAAGTAAATGAAGAGACGAAAAAAGAAAGACAAAAGTAATATGCGTGATATGATTTCTTGACCGATAAGTTATTATATGCACAAGTAATCGTAATCGAACATAATAATTCTCAAAAGTCAAAACTCGTCTAAAGCTCTCTGCGGTCTTTTCACGATTCCCCTTTTGTTCGCTCGCTTCGCGACTTCCCCTTCGCGGTCTCCCTTATCACACTGAAAAGAGGTCTACTAATTGCTAACAAATGTATTTGGTTGAACGTTTCAGTGCGATATTTGGTAATGAGTATCAGATAATAATTGCTGTTACTGCTTGATAATAATTACAAAATAAGTAGTGAAACAGTCTTCAATTAGATTCAATTGATCTAATCAAATGATGTAATTAATATCTAATAATTTGATAATAATTACAAAATAGTTTGATAATTGCCAAACTATTTAGTAAAAGATCTGTTCTATGATGTTACATTAATCTAACCCAATAGAAAGTATTACTAAACAATATGGTTTTATTTAACAAATTGCTTAGTGAAATGTGATTGAATACTTTGCCAATAGTCGCACTATTCAGTAATTACTACTAAATTATTTGGTATTATTTAGCAAACCATTTAATTGGTCCAACTAAATGAAGAAACTAAATGAATTCTTCTACTAATCATTTTGCTATTGTTACCAGATGGTTGGTAACTATTATTAGGACCTTAACTTAGTTTCCGCCCAAAAAATACTGAGAAAAAGCATTTATTGTAAAAAATTTATTTAAATTATTTCAATGAAAGTATTTTCCATCACTTTCTACAACTTTTTGCCATCTTTCTGGCAACTGGGCGATACCATCTCGATAAAACGATGTTTGTTTCGAAGCAATCCATTCGTCCACCCATTCTCGCACTTCTTCAACATTTCGGAAGCGTGT